TATATATATATATGGTACAATACCATTAATGTTCTGCATATTTTATGGTTGATTGTACAATGCATCCCATGACATTGTTACTAAATTGAAGATACTCATGCTTTATATTATAAGTAAAATATAGGTGCTGATGGGGTTTGTGACCCGGTGGTGGGAAGACAATGCATAAACATCGCTGATATAGTTTTCGGATCCAGATCGAAATCACGTTGTGACTGATTCTACTGTGAAGAGGATGAGTTGCTCTTGTCTCCCGAACCATGTGATTGTTAATATTTGGATTGGCAAGGGAGCTTGAAGGGAGAGAGAGAGAGAGCTAAGAAGAGAAAATCAGAAATTGGAAATATTCTCAGATGCAATCTACAGTACATTGCAGAGATCACACCTTTTGTATATATTCTCATTCTCTCATTACATCAGCCGATTAATTCAATTACAAGAGCCAATGTGGATATGACACATGGCAGCACAAGGCCTAAGAGCCGTTGAAAGCTAACTGACTAATCTGCTCCTTACACTTGGCATATGAGCACAAGCATACATAAAACTCACTCAGCTAAAAACAGAAATGAACTAAGCTAAGTAAACTGTTCACTAATGAGAAATTAGAGAGCAATTTACTTTTCAACACTCCCTTCTAAATTGCTATCTGATTTCACTCCAAGCAAGCTTCTCAAATAACTGAATCTGTCCTTGGGAAGAGCCTTGGTAAAGATGTCAGCAATTTGTTCTTCACCTTTGCAGTAAACCAAATCAATCTCACCATCTTGAATTGCATCTCGGATGAAATGAAACTTCCTTCGAATATGCTTGCTTCTCTGGTGGAAAACAGGATTTTTAGACATGGCTATAGCTGAAGTGTTGTCACAGAATAGAGTAGTAGCAGTGGTTTGTTCTTCCCCAAAGTCTTCAAGAACGAACCTAAGCCAAATGGCCTGTGAGGTTGCTACAGCTGCACTCACATACTCGGCTTCTGCTGTAGAAAGAGCTACACTATGCTGTTTAACTGAGGCCCACGAGAACACACCGCTGCCAAATGAAAAGGCATATCCTGAGGTGCTTTTCATGTCTTCCTCAGATCCACTCCAGTCACTATCGCAGTATCCAATTAAGAATGCAGATTTTCCAGCTGCATACTCAATTCCATAATCAATTGTTCCCTGTATGTACCTTAGAACTCGTTTGGCAGCTCCATAGTGCTTCTTTGAAGGACTGTGCATGAACCTTGCAAGTAGGCTAACAGAGAACATAATGTCAGGCCTGGTTGCAGTTAAGTATAAAAGACTTCCAACAATTTTCCTATACAAGCTTTCATCTGCAGCTTCACATCCATCCTCCCTTTGTAATTTGTCAGTAGCAACCAAAGGAGTGCTCACAGATTTGCAATCCTTAAGCCCAAATTTATCCAGCAAGGTTAGAGCATACTTCTTCTGGTGAATGAAGATGCTCCCTTCATTTTGTGTTACTCCCATGCCAAGGAAATGGTGAAGAAGGCCTAAATCTGACATTTCATACTTGCTCATCATTTCAGCCTTGAATTCTTCCATCATTCCATCACTGCTTCCAGTATACACGATGTCATCTACATAGATTGACACAATTAGTGTTTCACCATCTTCTTTGGTTCTTACATAAAGAGTTGCTTCACTTGGACTCCTATGAAAACCACACTCAGTTAGGTAAGTGTCTATTTCACTATACCAGGCCCTTGGAGCCTGTTTGAGTCCATAGAGAGCTTTTCTCAATCTATACACTTTATCCTCAGCTCCTTTAATCACAAAGCCTTCAGGTTGGTCTACATAAACTTCCTCTTCAAGAATGCCATTCAAGAAGGCTGATTTGACATCCAATTGACACAATTTCCAGCTTTTCTGTGCAGCTAGAGCAATGAGAGTCCTAATAGTATCTAACCTTGCTACTGGAGCAAAGGTTTCATTGAAATCAATCCCTGGTTTCTGTGTGTAACCCTTGGCTACAAGTCTTGCCTTGTGCTTTTGAATGGAGCCATCAAGATTGAGCTTTGTTTTATATATCCACTTCACTCCCACAATTGGTTTGCTGCTTGGTTTGTCAACCAATTCCCAAGTGGAATTCTTCTCTATCATTGATATCTCCTCATTCATGGCCTTGTTCCAAGCATCATCTTGAGCTGCCTCATTGTAACTTTCTGGTTCAATAATGCTCATTTTGCATTGAGCATAGACTTCACTTAAGTTCTTCCATTTTTGTGGAGTATGATCAAAAATTTCAGAGATTGAAACTGATGAATCATGTGTAGCTGATTCCATAGAAGTTTGCAGCTCATTAACCACTTGTGATCTCTGTGGAGATTGAGCAGACTGAAGTGATTCATTAGAACATGAACCAAATTCTGATATTCTTGGACTTTCTTCTTCATGCCATGGAATAGTCACATGAACTTCTTCATTCAACTCCCAATTCCACATTGCTTTCTCATCAAAGATAACACTCCTTGAGAGTTCAATCTTTTTAGTTTCTAGATTGAAAATCCTATATCCTTTTTCACAGATTCCATATCCAAGAAAGACTCCCTTCATTCCAGTTTCCTCCAGCTTGTGTCTTTTCTGAGAAGGAATATGGATATAGCACAGTGAGCCAAATACTCTCAAATGTTTAACACCTGGTTTTCTCCCACTGAACTTCTCAAATGGTGTTGTGTTGTCCAAAGCACTTGTTGGACTTCGATTCTGTAGATAGATAGCTGTGTTCACAGCTTCTGCCCAGAATTTCAATGGAATCTGCTTCTCATGCATCATGGCTCTTGCCATTTCTACCACTGTACGATTCTTCCTCTCTGCAACACCATTCTGTTGTGGAGAGTAAGCTACAGTTAATTATCTTTCTAACCCCAATTCTTCACAGAACTTTGAAAATTCCAGTGAGGTATATTCTCCACCCCTATCACTTCTTAGCCTTTTAATTTGATAACCACTCTGCAGTTCAACCATGCTTTTGAACCTTTTGAAAATGTTGAATGCTTGAGACTTGTGCTGTAAGAAAAACACCCAGCACATTCGTGTGTGATCATCAATAAAAGTGAGAAAATACCTATTCCCTCCAAGAGTGGTAACCTGCATTGGACCACATATATCTGAGTGAATCAGTTCAAGTGGTTGAGTAGCTCTCCATGCCTTCTCTTTATCAAATGAGTTCCTGTGACTCTTGCTTATAGCACAACCAGAACAGACTTTCTCAGATCCTTGCAGCTTCGGCAGGCCTTGCACCATGTCTTTCTCTTGTAGCAGCAATAGGCTAGTGTAGATATATATATATATAGAGAGAGAGAGAGAGAGAGAGATATATATATATATATATATATGGTACAATACCATTAATGTTCTGCATATTTTATGGTTGATTGTACAATGCATCCCATGACATTGTTACTAAATTGAAGATACTCATGCTTTATATTATAAGTAAAATATAGGTGCTGATGGGGTTTGTGACCCGGTGGTGGGGAGACAATGCATAAACATCGCTGATATAGTTTTCGGATCCAGATCGAAATCACGTTGTGACTGATTCTACTGTGAAGAGGATGAGTTGCTCTTGTCTCCCGAACCATGTGAATGTTAATATTTGGATTGGCAAGGGAGCTTGAAGGGAGAGAGAGAGAGAGAGCTAAGAAGAGAAAATCAGAAATTGGAAATATTCTCAGATGTGATCTACAGTACATTTGCAGAGATCACACCCTTTTGTATATATTCTCATTCTCTCATTACATCAGCCGATTAATTCAATTACAAGAGCCAATGTGGATATGACACATGGCAGCACAAGGCCTAAGAGCCGTTGAAAGCTAACTGACTAATCTGCTCCTTACACTTGGCATATGAGCACAAGCATACATAAAACTCACTCAGCTAAAAACAGAAATGAACTAAGCTAAGTAAACTGTTCACTAATGAGAAATTAGAGAGCAATTTACTTTTCAATAGTGATATATATTGAGCAGATGCCAAAGGGAAGGAAAGCAAACTGAAACACCAAATTGAACATTCAACTGCAAAGTACAAGACCTTTCTCTTTTCCAAGATTTGCCTGATTGTGTTGAGAAGTTTTTTCTATTGCCACACTCTCAGCAAAACTTATCCCAGGAGTGTGGAGACAAATGGATCAATGAACTACTAGATGGATCTTTGAGGCTCCTGGATGTGTGTGGCATCATTAAGGATGCCCTTTTGCAAACAAAGGAGTGCACACATGAACTTCAATCCGTTATGCGCAGAAGACGAGGAGGTGACATGAGCTTCATGAGTGAGGTTAGAAAATACCTTGCCTCTAGGACGGATGTCAAGAAGGCAATGAACAAGGCCTTCAAGGTCAAGGAAAGTTACGGAACCATGAAACTCAAGCTGTGATCAACATGTTGAAAGAGTTAGATGCAATAACTGTTGCTGTGTTTGAATTCTTGTTGTCCTTCATAGCTGGTTCAAAATCAAAGTCAAGCAGTAGGTCATTAGTTTCCAAGCTAGTGCAGCCTAAAAGAGTATCCTGTGAGGGTGAGGAAACTGCAGATACGAATGAACTTGAGAAATTGGATGCCGCATTGAATGCCCTTATTACTCACAAGTTTAAAAAATCTGATTACGCAATGCAAGTTGAGAATGTGCAAATTGGGCTCCAGGATTTGGAGGCAATTAACATTCAAGATATAGAAGAAGGACTTGAGTGCCTGTTCAGGCGCTTGATCAAAGCCAGAGTCTCTCTTCACAACATTTTCAACCATTAGGGATGAAAATCATCCAATTTTGTAAACATGGAACAAACATAGTTGTATATTATAAGATTCAGGTTTCCTCACACAACTGTGTTGAGGTTTTCTTCTCTATTTATACACATGAAGCAGCTGAGATCATGGAGAACAAACATAGTTGTATATCATCCAATTTTGTAGACATGGAGCAGCTGAGATCATGGAGATTCTATAACTGATGGAAAAGTAATTGTAGGATATTTACAGCTAATACACCCCCTCAAGTTGAGCGTTCTTGAACTCTCAACTTGTCTCGAATGAATTTGAAACGGGTAGAGCTCAAAGGCTTTGTCATTATATCAGCAAGCTGATCCTTGGTGGAGATGAATTTGACATGAAGGCGTCCTGCAGAGACTTGATCACGAACAAAGTGATAATCGATCTCGACATGTTTAGTGCGAGCATGGAAAATTGGATTGGCGGAAAGGTAAGTTGCTCCCAAGTTGTCACACCATAAGACAGGTGGTGTTGATAAAGTAAGGCCAAGTTCTTTCAGCAAAGAAACCAGCCAAGTAATTTCACTAGAAGTATTGGCAAGGGAGCGATATTCGGCCTCGGTGGAAGATCTAGCAACAGTCGGTTGCTTTTTGGCAGACCACGATACTAGATTACAACCAAGATAAATTACATAGCCACCAGTTGATCGGCGATCATCTGGACATCCAGCCCAATCTGCATCACAAAAGGCTTGAATGCCATTAGAGGGAGATTTGCTTAGGAAAAGACCATGGGAAAGAGTGTGCTTGAGGTATCGAAGGATTCTTTTAACTGCTGTCCAATGCTCAGTGGTGGGGTTGTACATGAATTGACACACCTTGTTGACAGAAAAGGCAAGTTCCGGGCGGGTTAAAGTTACATATTGAAGGGCACCTGCAATGCTTCGGTATTGTTGTGGATTAGCAAGTGGTTCGCCACCAATTTTACTAAGCTTGGTGGATGAGGCCATAGGAGTATGAGTGGGCTTCATGTCTGCCAAATCAGATCGTTTGAGAAGATCAAGGATGTATTTTCGTTGAGAGAGAAGAAGACCTCCAGATTGTGGGAT